CTGCAATACAGGTTTCAGTGACATAATAAGATTACTTATTTGGATAACAATCTACTTTTGCCTTTTGCAGGATACTATAGCAAGGATATAATGTTTTACTAGAACTTCTAACAATTTCATATTGTCTTCTAAAAAGACCAGTTTCTACAAACATGGCCAGTGGACTTATTACCGATAGCTGTGATTTTTTTTTCCTGTAAAACGCTAGAGTATGCTATCTTATACATTTTTGCCCGTTTTGGGGAGTGGATAATGTGCTTTAAAATTTTGAAGCAGTTCTTTTTCCTGTAACACCTAAATCCACCAGAGCAGCACAAATCAAAGTTTCTGAATTTGTGGTACCACGTATGTTTTCTGTTTTTCTTCTTTTGCTTCTCTCGCTTAATTCTTTAAAGTTCTTTGTTGGCCTACCCCCTTGATGCAGTACTGCAGGTATTGCAACATTTCCATCTAGCCAATCACTATTTTTTATTAAAAACAAATTTTTACCCCTCTTTGCTATTGATCATCTTTGTTTTAACTCGTAACTAAACTGCGATAAACTGTTTTACTTCTTTTATTTGTTCGTCTGAGTAATTATCTTTTGCTAATACGTAATGTTCTAAAAATATTAATTTCTCATTCATGTTTGATAAAATTTGACACTGCATTAGTTTAAAAAACATTCTTCAGGTCGTTTCCCTGACATCTGACAAACCTAAAAAAACTCCGTTTAAAATTAAAATGTACCGTTTAAAATTAAGGTATAATGTTCAGGTAAAACATGAAGTTTAGTGTTTTTTTTATTAAATAAGTTATTTTATAGTTTCGATAAAATATATAATACTAATAATAAACCTTTATTTTAAAAAAAGTAATAACTTACTTTCTTTAAAGTACACAGAGAAAAAAAGAAAAAAAAGAGAAAAAAAATTTAAACAGAAACAACAACCCCCCTGGTCTTTTCCTATCATACACTTAAGAACAGGAAGAGTGAATAAACAAATACGGAGAACAAAATGGCAAAAAATGGCAGGTGATTTTTACATATCATTGAAGTCAAAACCTTAGCTATCTGTTAATAAGAAAATAGCAACCTGGAAATGCTTGGAAGTATTACTAATTACTTATAGTTTGCAGTGAAAATTGCAAAAAACAAGAGAAAGAAAAGAGTTTTTACAAAACCAACAGACTTATATATAATCACAAATAAACTAATTAAAACTTTTCAAATGTATTTACCTTTACCTACTTCATTAGAATTCATCACAAAACACTTTGAAATATATTTTGGTTAAACTTTATTTGATGCTGATAAATGCTTAAAAAATAGGCGACCAAAAGAAACGCGTAGACAATAATTAATGATCAACTTTGTATATATCCTATTGCTTGTCGTTAAAACCATTTGCGGTTACTAAACGTTTATAATATTCACTAACCATTCAGCATTGCTAAAATAACTTTTTTAATTTATTTTGGAAGTTATGAAAATTTTAGTTTTGGCCACCTAAATCAATCAAATACCCCACTGTGCGGCGCGAGTAGGTGTCACGTGGGGAGTGCCATTACAACTCTTGCCGACTAAAAAAAAAGAAAAAAGTCCTCGTTTTTTAAAATTTGCCGACTGCCCTCCAACTTCCCTCCGACTGCCCTCCGATTACCTCAACGACATTTGCCTACTTAATGTCTAAATTTACAGACTAACCTGTCAAAAGGGTCTACACTTGCAGACTAACTAGTCAAAATGGGTCAAATTTGCCGACTAAATGAACGAAAAAATCATTGATGGGGGGTTTTGCACACACACACATACACACACACACACACACACACACACACACATCGCGCCGGCCTTGTTTATACAAATCATAAAATCTTAAAATCTCTCTCCATACAAATGATCTGAAAACATCACTGTTAATAATAAATTATTTTGCAATATTTTCGGTCTCAGGCTCTCATCACAGCATGTTTTTACAAAACATTTTTATTTGATATAAACATAAAAATACTTAAATTTGGAGTTTGACAATGCCTGAAAGTGTCATTACTAAAACATCAAAAATCCTGCGTCCGCCTCTGTTTCATTTTTCAATTTGTTTTAGACTCACCAAACAGCCTTGATATATTTCATTTACTGCATTATTTCACATTTCACTTACTGCAATAATTAAATGAGTTTTTAGCCAATATTACTTATTGTCAAAAATATCATAAATATTAGCTTTTGTTACTTTTTTTATTATCTAAGACTTTATGTATATTATACATAAAGTATTATATATATATTATGTGTTGTTATATGTATTATATTATGTATGTATGTATGTATATATGTATGTATATATGTATTATGTATATATAAATGTATATATTATATTGTTTATGTATTATACATAATGTATATATGTATTATATTATGTATTATATGTTATTATATGTATTATATTACGTATTTATATATATGTATTATATTATGTGTTATTATATGTATTATATTATGTGTTTATATATATGTATCATATAGTCCTTCCAATATTGATACCATTTTTCAATACCGGTATATCGGTACTAAATAATTACAATACCGGTAATACCGGTATAATACCGATATTAAACTTTATTTTTAAATTTATCATAATCTAAATAAAATCTCAAGTTAATAGTAAAAATTTTATTGATTCAATCAGTTTATTTATTTTATATCAAAACTACTGACTTTTTCATTTTTCGCTTTTTTCTGCTTTGTAAAATGAGCCCGTAAAAAACATAGGGCGTTCAGAACATCATCTTCAAAAGATCATCTAATTTTGTTGGCTTCACAGTTTTCAAGTAATGGTAGGAATTTTGAAAATATATACAACAATTTCCTCCTTCTTCAAAAATTCCTATTTCAATACATATAATTTTTGATGAATTATTTGAAACATTCAATTTTCCCTTGTTGTTACATTTCTTATTTTTCAAAAGTCAAGCTTTTTTTTCAATGACAAGTTTACAGCGTTGTCCAGAGAATCACTATCGGAAAAAACGCTGGTGAAAGGGAGAGGACTATACCCTTTCTGATTGAGCCGATCTTTCAGTCGAGTAATGGTATTTACAATGGCTAATTTGCTATGGTGCTCAAAAGATAGAGCTAGATCCAAATTCTTGTAACGTTGATGTCCCTTGTGCAAAAAATGTTGTATGCTGGAAAAAGAGTACGTTGCTCATTGAATTGTTGCACTAACATAACTTTACAGCTAAATCAATTTCTCAAAGGTTATCTATCGTGAAAATGTTGTATCGGCACACAACAGAGTTGCATGATTTTGGCACAATGTTTCCACAGCCAGTTTTACTGGCGCAAGACATAAGTTAACAACTAATATTGCATCGGACTCATTATTAGTTACCTCAACTTTGGACTCAAGGGCAAAAAGTGACTCGTGAATGCATTTTTTTAATTATACAAAACGTTCGAGTACTGTGTGCAAGCTAACCCAGCTAGTTTTGGATCCAAGTATTAGTGGAATATCTTTATCAAGTTTTTCTAACGTGCGTTTTTGAATTTTGATCATTTTTTGTCGGAGAACGGCGAAATAAAAATTTCACAACGGTGCGCACCTTTTTGATTAACGGCTGCAAATCATCAGTCAGTTCAATAGAGTCATTCTCTTCGCTCATTACAACTTGAAACCCGCCGGAAAAGTCTTCATCATTATTGGTTATGCTTGTGTCATCAGTATTTCCTCGTCACTTTCTCTGTTATTGCATATTACTTTCAAGTTTTTTTTGCAGAAATTGACGATTTTTTTGTACAAAATATCTTGAATACCTAGTTGAATCCCATGCCTAATGCACAACTGTTGATCACAGTTACTTAAACGCCCCACTTTCTACATTACCGAAACTTTTCATATTTACGTTAGTGCAAAATTCAAACATGCGTTCTACATTAAAGCGAGTAACGTAATAATAATATTTTAAATTGGTGCTTCATTATTTAATGAAAACACGAAAGTAAATGGAATACTTAAAACTTCCAGTCACGATCAAACAACGCTTCCGGTAAGAAAAAGATAGCTAGATGACAAAAGACGTGTTTAAATAGTCTAAAATAAGTATTCTATGTATTTTATACGTCTTAAACGCTAGCTGTTTGCTGGCTAGTTGCTAGCTCATTTCCTACCAAACCTAGTGGGAAGTGAGCTGGCAACTAGATATTAAGTATAAAGTACGTAGAATACTTGTTTTAGACAATTTAAACACGTCTTTTCTCATCTAGCTATCTTTTCCTACCGGAAGTGTTGTTGAAAGTTTTAAGTATTTCATTTACTTTAGTGTTTCACGTAAAGAGGACGATAGCACCTTCTATATCATAAGCCCTCTACATATATTTTTAATACCGGTATTGAGCCAAACCAATACCGGTATTTCGGTACTTAAAAATGTCCGGTAATACTGGTATTCCGGTACCGGTACTACCGGTATTGGAAGCCCTAGTATCATATTATGTGTTATTATACGTATTTATATATATATATATATATATATGTATTATATTATGTGTTATTATATGTATTATATTATATATATTTTATTATGTGTTATTATATGTAATATGTATATTATACATGAAGTATTAGATAATAAAAAAGTAACAAAAGATAATATTTATGATGTTTTTGCCAATAAGTAATACTGGCCAAAAACTTATTTAGCTATTGCAGTAAGTAAGATGTAGTATATCAAGGCTGTTTGGTGAGTCTAAAACAAATTGAAAAATGTATATAATATATATTGTATATATATTATATTATAATGGGAGGGAGTTATTTGTAATGGTAATTCAATTTCAAAAAAAAAAAAAAAAAAAAAAAAATATAGTTTCTGTAAGAACTAATTTAATGCTTTACACAACTACATTTAAAATTAATTTATTTACATTAAAAAGTTTAATTATTAAACAGCTTTTCATTTTTGAAACGCACAGCATTTCATTAAATTCTGTGAATAGAATTTTGATTTACGATTTCATAATAAACGGTTAGCTTTAGTTTAATTTTTTTAATTTTTTTTTTCTGATGAAAACTTTTTTTATAGCTCTGTATAGTTTTTTATTTTGCAAAAAATTTATGGCAAATGAATTAAAGTTAAGTTTAACACCGAGTGAAAGCCTAAACGATTTGCTTCAAAAAAGTAACGAGCTTAACAAAAATGTAGAAAATTCTCTATTCGAAACATATGATAAAGCTTTATCTTTATATTATAACAAATTTTTATCTCAAACTACTACACAAGGTTTATCCTTTGAAGAACAAACAAGCCAAGGGTTTGCAAATGATAGCACTTATTTGTTAGAAGTTACCGACATTACTCTTACGCCAATACATCAAAATAGTACCGACATATTTCAAACCGCGACAATAGATTCTACGTTAATTGAATTGTTTTCAAGCAAGATCCCTAGGGAAAATTCAACTTTAATTAATGTTTATGATAGTATTTCATTTATTTGGAGTAATGCAGAATCTCAAGCGACATTATCTAATTACACAATGATACCAGGTATAGAGCTTGATTCATCGTTAGTTCCAGGTTTTGTTTCAACATTATCACAAAGCGTTGCCGAATTCCTTTTTACAAATGAAAATAACACAAACATTGTATACGAAACTGTTACTCCAAGTTTCTCTTTAATTTCTCAATCAATATACTACAGCGTCGAAAGTAGTTTTTTTGAAACCGCTATTCAAGAGGTCGAAACTTCTCTTGTTCTTAGTTTGTCAAACTATAACAGCGATATTTCAGACGTCGACAATTATAAAATAACCCCTACCAACAATATAAATTTCTCGACGCCCATTCCAACTTGGTTTAATACCAACTATATGTATGATAATATTAGTAGTAAAATCAATTTGAATCAATTTTCAGAAAACGTATCATTATTAACCTTAGTGCAAAATGTCACCAAGAACGAGTCCGATTTTGACGTCAAAACAACTATATACAAAACAATTATCTACAGCTTGTTTAATTGTGACATTTATAACTTCACCGGTTATAATATTAGTGAATATAACATGACATGGAATAGAAAGTGTGTTGACAAAGGTAAAATTTATATACAAATATTATTAATTTGCGGCCGTGGCGCAGTGGTTAGAGCGTTTACTTTAGAAGCAGGAGATCGAAACGAGCTCTGAACATATTTTCGAGTCACGATAAGGAAGGAGGCGTGACCTTCCTAGTTAAATGCACTTCCACGGTGCTCTATAACACGACCGGTAGGTCTTCTTGAAGCACCTAAATAACAAAATTAAATTAAAACTGCTTTCTTAAGCATCATTAAGCTATACAAGCTTAATGATGCTTAAGATAGCAATTTTAAAGCAGAACTAGTAAACTTTGTTAAAAGTGACAAAATTTACTTATTCAAAGTTAATTTACTTGTTTGAAGCTTTTTTAACTTCAAAAAAACTTTTTTTTGAACAAATAAATATACTTGTCGAAATATGTCATATGGTTACACTGTAATAAGACAACTTAAAAATGGCTAGCTAAGATATTACTTTGTACAGTGTAACCATATTAAAAATTTATACAAATACAAAGTATTTTAAAATCAAAATTATTACATATTTATTTTAACCAAGGTGTTGAGATTCCATGGTACAAAAATCCAATTATATATTACATTGGCGGTGGCAGCATAACTGGTTTAATTGTTCTCTTTATATTGAAATCATTGTGCAGTATTTGCAAGTGAGTTTTTTTTATTTCTAAATTAACAATAAAAAACGTTAATTACTTATACAAACTTTCTTTACACAGTAGTTTCCCTCTCTGTGCCTTTGAACTATAGTTTCTCGTTTTGTAAATTTTAAAAAAATATACTGGTATTATCTGTATTGAGTAAAAATGGCTCAAGATGATAATAAAAAACAAATAATATATATATATATATATATATATATATATATATATATATATATATATATATATATATATATATATATATATATATATATATATATATGTATATATATATATATATATATATATATATATATATGTATATATATATATATATATATATATATATATATATATATATATATATATATATATATATATATATATACTTTTTTCACATTAGGTAATACAAAGAGAAACATTAGTATTAAAATCAAACTAAAAAAATAATAATATAAATTTAAAAAATAATAGTTTGTAATATATGTGTCATAAATGAGCATGTTTCATGTATATATCAAATGTAGGGTTGCCAGACGTCCGGCTTTTACGAAGGAAAACACGGTAAAAAATTTTGTTTTTACAGGTTTGGCGCTGTATTCTCCTCTGTAAATGCCGGATGTCTGGCAACCCTAATCAATTGCCACATTACATATATATATGTATACATATATATATATATATATATATATATATATATATATATATATATATATATATATATATATATATATATATATATATATATATATATATATATATTTAGTTATTTTTGGGGGATGAATCTTCAAAAGGTACCGACTAGTTTTTTCTTTTTTTTTTAAAAACTAATACAATTCTAGTCAAAATAAAATAAATATTAAAGAGTCAAAGCTGAACTTTACTCACTTAAATGTTCGCAAAATAAGTTTCATCAAAGTTTATTTGAATGGTAAACCTGTGTTCGAGATGATGTGCGTTGGCCTGATGCCATCATCTCGAATGCAAGAAAAAAAATGTTAAAACCGACAGAAATAATCCAACTTTAGATTCTAAATCTTCCATTGCATAAGATTTGAGGTGGAATTGCATCACCCATATCTTTTATATATGGGTGATGTTTTATATATGGATGATGACCACCTCAACCCTTTCATACAAAAACAATGCAGTTAAAAGAAAGATTTTTTTTTATAAATATGGATGAAGGTTTTAATTTTCTGACGGAGTATTTCAATCTTATGCAATGGAAAATTTAGAAAGTTGGTAATATATCAAAATCAACAGACCAGCTTCTAAGAAACGGTGCTGAAAAAACGGCTGCCACGTTTATCCTTTATATAATGGTATAAAAACGCTGAGAAATATATAAGCCAAGGGTGTCAAAAACTTAGTTGCGCCAATTGTCTTTTCACTAAAAACCTTTGTTAACCTCATCAATTTGTTAAATTTTTCAAATAATGCTTGTTATAGTCTTTAGTTAGCTATGTTTAGAAGCATAAGGTAAAAATTCTGATATGCATTTTTATAGAAGTGTTTTTTAATTATACAAAACAATTTTATATATATATATATATATATATATATATATATATATATATATATATATATATATATATATATATATATATGCACACACACATATATATATATATATATATATATATATATATATATATATATATATATATATATATGCACACATATATATATATATATATATATATATATATATATATATATATATATAAATATATATATTTATATATATATATATATATATATATATATACATATATATATATATATATATATATATATATATATATATATATATATATATATATATATATATATATATATATATCACGGTGGGAAATTGACTAGTGAATAGCTAGCTATAATCATAACGATAAAAACAGCGATTTTGCCATGAGGATCGCTAGCTTTTTTAAATTAGCGAAAGCTATCGATATTTGTAAAGATAAAGACAGCAATTTGGCTACGAGGATTTTAGAATTGTTTTGTATAATTAAAAAGCACTTCTAAAAAAATGCATATCAAAATATAACATGCATTTATATAAAACCTTTTTTTTAGTAAATACTCTGGTGAATATACTTCTTATATTCACCAGAGTATTTACTAAAAAAAAGGTTTTATAAATAATATATATTTATACACAAATTTTTTTTAGTAAATACTCTGGTGAATATATACCCCCACGGCATAAACTTCCTCCAAGAAGAAGAAATAAAGAAGCATGGGTTTTAAGGCATATCGATAGATTTCCCAACAAAAGTGTCACCACATAATAGTAGAAAGAAGTATGAACTTTAATCAAAAAGAATGTATTAAATTATCTAAGTATGTATATTTTATATAAAATTTTTAATTGTTCATTAATTTGTTCATTAGTTTTTGATTTATCCTTTTTTAATTAATAATATTTTAATTCTTCCATTTTATCCTAAGTCATCTTTTTACTTTATATTTATTAAATTTTTCTTGCTTCAGTTGTTGGTTTTTTTTTAAGATTTTCGATTTACATTTTTATTTTAGTAATAAACTAAAATAAATCGCTCAATAATTTATTTCTGAACAGGCCGTACCTAGCATACTAAGATTAGAAAGTATAAAGGGAGTTTAACAAAAAATAATTTTAATTTCATTCGAAAAAAAGAATATTTTTATTCGTTTGAATAAAAATATTATTTTTTTAAAATTTTCAAAGCCGTTATTACATTTTTATTATTATTACCTGCAACATGTAAAAAAAAGTTATTACAGAGCCGACAACACAAGGGGGGAGGGCACCCGGGGTACTGGTCTCTCCTTTCACACTTTTTTTCTAAAGGACCTTTTTTTTAATATTACTATTATTTTTTTAAGAAATTTTTAAATATAGAGGACTTCTTTTAGAAATTGACGATTGTACCCCTCCACTTTGAAACCTGTGTCGCCGGTCTTGTATTAATCATACTAATTAAAAAAATATGCAGCGGTTTTCAAAACTATAAGGTCTGTACTTAAAATACTTAAAAAATTTTTTTCAAGTATTCTGTACTTAAAATACGTGAATAAAAATTTGAGCAAAGTTGATGATATTTGCTAAAGTTCACGTAAAGTGAGTAAAAGCAATCGCTTTTTTTTATTCACCCGGCCTAAGAAGTCAAATGGCAAATAGTCAGTCTAGCAAAAAACTCAATGAGAAATAGCTGCAGAGTCCAAAGTACGCTGAAATCTATTCGATAGAGCAAGAATATGTGTTATTTTAACATGCTGTGTCCAAAAAATGCTGAAAAACTAAAACTTTTCACATGACGTAAAGGATTTACCAAGAGTTGGAAGGCCGTCAAAACTTAATTCTAGGGATCAAAGCGTATTTTATTAAAGGGTAAGTGAAGATCTTTTAATTAGCTACTAAGAACTGTCAACTAAGTTTGGTAATAAGGTTAGTTTTGTTAGCGTTAGTTATAGCGCAATTAGAAAGTGTCTCAATAAAAAAGGTAATGACTTTTATGTTGTTAACAGAAAATCGTTTTGAAGGGTGACAAATTGGATTAAAATATATAAATGAGGTAAAGAAATACATCATTGGTCAGTAGAAGATTGGTCTAAAGTCATTCTAAGTGATGAATTAAATTTTGAAGGGGTTAACCATAATTCAAGAATAATCGTTAAAAAAGATGTTGTATACCAAGCCAAGAGTATAAGACTGTGGTGGCTCGATTGGTATATGGGAATGCATTTCTCATAGGTGGATAGGATATAATATTTAATAAAACTTTATAAAACGGCAAATAAATATTATAAATTATAAAGATATTAACGCAAAAATTAAAAAATTATAGAGATATTGACGCAACTTAATATTCAAGTATAAGTAAAACTGTAAAATTTGATTTAATTTTGAACATAAACGATGTTTGCATAATTTAAACGATGTTTGCATAATTTAAACGATGTTTGCATAATTTAATGTTTGCTTAAGTTAAAATTTGCATACACTTTTGTTTTCATTCCCTTGTAAAGAAAAAAAAAAAAAGGAGGACTCTTTGACGCCATTAACTGGGATGTAATGGCTCGGTGAATTATGTGCATACACAAATGAGTAACATTAAGTTCAATAATAAAATATTTTAATACACCGACCATTTCTATACTTATTCCTTACTTCAATATTTTATAGAAAGCGGTAGAAAAACAATTATATATATGTATATAAAAAAAACTATACATAATGTCTACCTTTTAAAGTTATGAAAAATAAATAAAAATTTATAACACAATTAAGTTTAGAAAATTTTAAACGCTTCGGTAGCGCAAAGCGCTACATATTAGCGGTTTGGATATTAGTACCAGTCTGAGTAATATTTAGAATACCCACTCAAAATCACCATCACTTGAAATGTGTTGATTAATTACAATTGGTATACAAAGTTTAAAAATAATGTGGATTTAGAATTATATAGAATAATGGACTTACCATGCCCCGTATAATACGGGTTGTGCCCAGTGGGCACGGACGTAAAAAAGACGTCTTTCAAACGTCTTATACACGTTTTGGACGTCTTTCGAACAGTTTTTAAACGTCTTTTGAACGTTCAAAAGACGTCTTTTTATTAGGTCCGGTGCCCACTGGGTGTTAAGTCTATTTCACACCGACCATTCTATACCTTTTTTATAGTCTTTATATTTTCATTTTATTTCAATAATTTTTAGTGGTTGAATTTAAAAATCTTAAAAATATTAAAGAGTTAACTAATAACCCAAGCACATTAATAACATAAGCTCATTACAATCTCTCTAATTCGAATTTACTTAATTCGAAAACCCCTGTAATTCGATTAAAGGCAAAGTCAAAGTTAAGAAACTCTTACATTTAAAAAAGTTTGGTTGAACGGGTGAAAGGTGATACGTATTATTAGTTCAACAAAGCTGTACTTAATTGGTTCAAACAAATGAGAGCTGATAATGTGCTAATTAGTGGTTTGCTAGAAAAAGAAAAAGCTTTATATTTTGCAAAAGAGTTAAGCTTCGAAAATTAAAAAGTAGATTAATTTCTTATTTTATTTTATCCAATTTTTATGATTAACGACTTTACAATATATGATTATTTTACGGGAAGACATAATTGAATCGAAATAAAAAAATTGAAAAAGGGAATTATATCAATGTGAATAAAGTTGAAAACTTATTTAATTTGTATAGAATTGGCCAATCGCGAAATGGATCGAAAATATTCATAATCTAAATTTGCAACATGGCATTTGAATCAAAATACGGTATAAGATTTGAATCAAAATCATGAAAATGGGAATTGTATTGAAAACAAATAAATAAAACAGCGTTAACATTTTCATCGTAAAAGTTAACTTGTAGAAATGTATAATAAATGTTTTAGTTATTAGTTATATAGTTTATACAGTTTATTCAGTTTATTCACGTTTTGCAACAGCACATCTTCAACTACACTGTACATGAACTACAACTCCTGACAAACAACCAACCCGTCCAACGATATCAGCGAGATTATCCAAAAAATTGAAAAGATTCAGCTGTATGAAAAAAGACTCCGACTAGGCAAAGGTTTACTGAGCGTTATCTCTCGATCATATCGTACATCTTTCAAAATTTTAAAGCATGGTAAGAGAAACTACCCTGTGTATATTTATCGTATATCGTATATCGTAAATCATATCGTACACCTTTCAAAATTTTAAAGCATGGTAAGAGATGCTATCGTATTTTTCGTAATCTTTTTTTCTACCTATTCTAATTTGTCTTGGTCTTTTCTTTTATAGGCAATCTGAAGTAAACGAGTTTGAGGACATTGTAAATACAAGTTTACCTGAAGAAAATCAATTTTCTCTAAGATTTTTTGTTTGTTTGATCAATGCCAAAAATGCTTTGATTTTGCCTTGCAAACATTTGTGTTTTAAAATTTTTTTTGTAGAATAAACTTTTTCAACCCCCTTTTTCTTTTAAAAATAATTAAAAAAAAACAAACAATTACATTTTCATTTGGTTATAATTGATGCAGGTAATCTACGGGTAAACTGCGGTGCTCGAACAAGACTGAGCAAAGAAAGCCCGCAAAGAAATACGAAATATTTTTTTGAAATAACTTTTTATATAAAGAAGGATAAGTTATAAAAAAAAAGAAAAACGAACAGAGGTTCAAAATGTACAAAAATTTAGGAGAAAAAGTTTAAACACAAATCACATTTAACAATATTTTCATCGTTAAAGTATATCTAAAACAAACAGAACACATAAGTAACATATATAAAAGTAACCATAAATTTTCATTAAATACAAAAGTTTAATTTACTTTATATTTATAGATTCTACCTAGAGATTGTACTTTTTAGAGGGAAAACCTTTTTTTACTTTTCAATCATCACACTCTTACTCTTTTGAAAAAAAAAGTATATATTAAATTCTTTTTTTTAAAGAAACGATTGCATTTTCATTTATTTTATAAATTTATTGAACAAATCAGATAAAGCTTAACTTTGGCGAGTTAAACCCTAATCTAAAACATATTAACTGTTTTCTGATATATACACGAAGCATGCCTACTTCAGACCTGAAGCAACCGGGGAAGCAACAGGGGCATTTGCCCCCCCCCCCCCCCAATAATTTTTCAAATAAATAATTTATTTATAAAATCAAAATAAATATATAATTTAATAATGAATATAATTTTCGTTACTACGGCCCTGTACTTAAAACATGACTTTAATTTTTTTATTAATAAAAAGAAAAGTGTAAAGTGCATTTTTATTACTGCGAATTTTATAAGTGCAAAGCAGTTCCAAAAACATGACGCGTTTAATCTGGATAAAGTCAGAATTATACAAATACTGGCGTAAGTGTAAGGTTGCATAACCACAAATTTCCGTTAGTGTTTTAACATAAAACGTTTTAAATGATTACGAAATATTACCTTTGAAGTTTATTAGATTCGCTGGCTGTGTTCTCGCATAACCAACACATTTAACAAAAAAAAATCAAAAAAAATCAATAAAAAATACAAAAGTATAAAGAACATTAAAAAAGCAAGTAGATAAGTAGAAAGTTTAATATTTTAAACAGCGAGAGCATAAACAAAGAAATAAATTATGAGTGAGATGAACTAGACCCAGTCTGTATTTTTAAACCTGTTTGCTTAACTTTTTACCTATAACACTAAACTAGGCTGTTTTAAAAAATTTCTTGCTTGAAGTGAACAATGCCCGGCATTTTCATATTGCCTAAACTGTCTTATCTCTAAATCTCATATTAAGTGTTACAAGTGCGCATTAAAAAAAAAGTTTTTATTTAACCTACTATTAAAGCATACTTCTTAAACCTACTTATTAAAGCATTTTTTACCATATTACTATAGCAACTAATATAAATAAAGTAATGTAAATTAAATAAAAGTAATAAAACTGACTTCAGGACCTAAACCTTAAAAAACTCGAGATTTCTAAATTGTGACCGCTCATAATTAATACAATGATAATCTTTTATTGACATATTGCAGTTTTTCAAATCGAACGTTTATTTTTTTTAGGTTTAAAAAGCATTTAACGAGAAACTTCACTTTCTTACCAAATGGTGCTTTTATGGGTGGAGCAAGCATCGAATATTGGACTTGGATTCAAAAGCTAGCGCTCTAAACACTGCGTCATGGCTGCTCAAAACCACATATATTAATATACAACTAAAATATATTTTGCGTAACCTTTTTAGTTTTTCATTTTTGAAGTTTGCAATAAAAATGGAACTGAAAAATTGAAAAGAAAGATGACTAACAATTTTTTTTTTCTTAAATTAAAGAATGCTTCGGCCATTGGGAAAAATCATAACGTTTTATTTTGATTCATAAAAAAAATTCTACACCAATCAAAAGTAGAAAGTTTGCTTTAATAAGTGAAATAGTTGTTGAATAGTAATTTCGAAAGCTATATTTAGTTTTTCCTATAATAATTATAATTTGAAAAAAAGAACTAAGGAGAAAAAGAAAGAGTGAAGATGATTTGAAAAAGAGAACGAGGGAGAAAAAAAGAAGAGAATTTAATTTGAAAAATAGAGCTAGTAAAAGAAGGAAAACTGAATATAATTTGAAAAAAAGAACTAGGTAGAAGAAGAAGGAGAGAACTTAATTTGAAAAAGAGAACTAGGGAAAGGAAAAATGAGTGAATTTAATTTGAAAAAGAGAACTAGGGAGAGTAAATAAAAAGAGAGGAGAAAAGGTAATTTAAATTACGGTTTAGAAATTAAGTTCTATGCTTGTAGTTTTAACAAATATGATGGCTACCAATGCACGAAATAAAATCTTCTATGTTTTTTTAATGCTACATACTATTTAAAAATGAATATGTCGATAATTATAAATTAAGTTTAGAATAATTAAAATATAAAATCAGGAACTCATTGCGCTTTCATTTGAGATTGGGGTGGAAATATTCCTAGTATCGGGATAGTTTTGTTTGTAGGCTCAACCAGTGGGCACAGTACGTTTTTAAAACATTCTTTGGACGTTTTAATAAGATTTAAACCTATAAAAACGACCAATGAACGTATAAAAAACGTAACGTTCCCAATGGAAACAGAGTTGTTAACAAGGCTAAAAGTAGCAATGCTAAGGCCACATTTTACAAGGCCAAGGCCAAGACCAAGGCCAAAAGTTACAAAGTCAGGAGTGAAGGTCAAGGCCAAGGTTAAGGGTTTCAAGGCCGAGGCCTACGCAAACAGATTCAGTAAGAAAATATACTCATAGATATATATAAAAGCCCAAAGAAGGCCAAGGTCAAAACAATCAAGAATTAACAACTCTGAATAAAAATCACTTCAAGTTTTTAGCTATCTATTTTAGACAGGATTTTATAGTGACTTATTTTTTTTTTTCTTTCAGGAAACGCTTTTTTGTATTGGTTACAGAATTATTTATTATTAAAATTAATTGGTAGGATACTTTAGTGGTTAAAAAATTCTCTTATCAGTTAAAAGAAAATATATGGCTCCAAAAAAAGAAAATAAATTTATTGGTAGCGTCAGTTTCATTACTCAAATATTTTATATTCTAAACGTGCTCCAATGACTATGTTAGCAGTGTATTTATTTCTAATTAAGTGCTTCGCATTTGAATTAGAAAAAAAATTTGTATTGCATTAAAAAAAATTACTTCAAACCGGATCATGACGCGCAATAATCTTTAAGAAAGTTTTATATGGGCAAATGTTTTGACAAAGAAAATGACGGAAGAAAATTTAAAGAGTAACTATAAACAACATAGTTGTAATTTGTCATTGCTTAAAGACAGAAACAGAGAGTTTTGTAATGAAATCAGGAAAGTTTCTCGTAATCAAGTTCTATCTAGGAAAAGGTTTTTAACTTGAATAATAGCAATTATATGATAACTAAAATTATAACAAATTATAAAACAATGGAATTTTAAATGAAATAATAATAATCATGTGTCACAGCACATTTCATTAAAACATAACAACAAACAATTTTAAATATAAACATAATTAAATGTTTAGTGTGAAAACAAAGTTATTTGATGTAAAAACCCTGTCTAATTACATATATATATAATATATATAATAATATATATATATATAATATATATATAATATATAATATATATAATATATTATATATATATATGTATATATATATATATATATATATATATATATATATATATATATATATATATATATATATTTGTGTGTGTGTGTATATGTGTGTGTGTGTATGTGTGTGTGTGTGTGTGTGTGTGTGTGTGTGTGTGTGTGTGTGTGTGTGTGTGTGTGTGTGTGTGTGTGTGTGCATTTGTGTATGTGTGTGTGTGTGCATTTGTGTATGTGATAGTAGTGTAAAATGAGTAAACATCTAACGTATACTAATTATATCTTTTTTTATTATTGCTTCAATATATTACTGTATTGAAATAAATTTTTTTTAATTTATACTATTGACTTTAATTTAAATACTAATATTATTATTAATATAACTTTGTTTAAGTTACATTATTAATATTATTTATAATAACAGTGATAATGGTTCTGTAGTTTTAAAAGCTTTATTATTATTTTTATAATTTTATTGCAGTTGTTATGTTTATTTTTATACTTACTATCATAATTATGAACAATATCATAATTATTTTTACAATTGTTTTATCATTAATTATAATTTTAGTTACCATATTATAGTTATTATTTATAATATTATTTTATACATATTATTGTTTTGTTGCTGTTATAGCTATTATTAATGTTATCATTATTTATTAGTTCTTTTTTTTTTTAACTTTCATTTTTCTCTTTTATGTTAATTTTCTTTATCTTTTTTTGTTTATGACCTTATTTTATTTTTTTAGGTGTGAATCCATTACCATTTTTTTTATGGAAGTTTATAATTTATTTGTTATTGTAAATTTTTTTTTCAATAAGAGGTTTTTTTTTGTTTTTTGTTTTTTTATATATTATGTAAATTTGTTTTTTACATTTTTAAAAGGTTAATTTGTTATAATAAAAACTCTGAAAACAGATATTAAAAATAAAAGACTTAACAGAGAAATAATGTTGGACAAAAAAATGTACATAATTAACAAATAAAATTAATTACAAAAGCAATATTATAACTATCATTATAACTCATTTAAAAAAATTTTCCTTATCCACAATCCATAAGTTTTCTACTTAAATACCAAAGTACTATTCAAAATATATATTCATATAGTTTACAACAAGATGAAACAAGGGTCTTGGTACTTTACCACTAGCATTTATAAAAAGACATTAGGTATTTGCTTGATTTGACAGTATTTTGCAATCACTAACATTTAATGAAAAACATTCGTTTGAGACCCCAAAATAAAAGTGAAAAACTCAAATTTAAAGCAAAAACTTCCTCTTATCTGGCAAAAAATTATGTATAAAATACACCATCTAAAGGTTGTATAAAAAAACATGAAATATTAAAAAGCAGAGATGTAGGTCTTGAGACGCCTTGAGACTCATATTTAATTGTTACGGTCTTGGTATTGGTCTTGAAGCCTAATGTCTTAGTCTTAGTCTTGGTCTTGAAAGCCTAGAGTAATGGTCTAAGTCTTGGTATCGGACCTATACTCTCTTTTACTTTCTTGATTCTTACTAAAAATATCAACTCAATGAATGGATTAGTTATTAATAACAAAACGTAGATCGCCACAACTTCCCGCTCTCAATGAGAGTTTGTCATTTGGTTTGACAAGGTTCTAACTGAAATTTTTTATTTTAGGAGAATTAAAAAAAAAATCTTTTAATTTTTTTCGTTTAATTAAAATTAATTCTTGATCCCGGTCTTGTAAAAACTTTCAAAGACTTGGTCTTGGTCTTGGGTTGATTTTTTGATGTCTTGGTCTTGGCCTTTACTGTCTTGACTACATCTCTGTTAAAAAGAATTGATAAAAAAGGAAAAAACAGACCATCATTATCATTTAACCAGTTTAAAACAATTTAATACTCATGGTCATATACAGTGATAGAAATTTACTTAGACGCACACAATTTTTATTCGAAATTTTAATTTTTAAGTAAAATTTATTAGGTAAAAAAGAAAATATGATTTTTATTGTATAGCTTAGTTATTAAGTATTTTATTAGTAAAGTATTTATAATAAAAATATATCACATTAAAAATAGAACAAAATAAATAATAAGGAATGCACTTTTCATATGGGAATTTTCGTTAAACGCACTTTTAAAAATTAAATAATGAAAAGGAAAAAAAAAATTTTTTTAAATTTTAATATTTGGTGGGTCCTCCGTGGTTCTTAATCACTTCAAAAATTCTATTTGGCATTGAATTAATGAGCGATTGGAGTGTCATTGGTTGAATTTCTTGCCAACACCTATTGACTTCACCTCGAAGCTCTTGATTGCTGCTAAATTGTCGTCCATTTTCATAAACCTTTTGAGATAAGATTCCCCAAAGGTACTCAATTGGATTGAGATCTGGACTATATGCAGGCCATCTCATCACTTTGATGTTTTTGGGTTCAAATCATGCCATAGTTTCTCTTGATTCATGAATGGGTGCATTGTCTTGTTGGAAAATGACTTGATCTTCTAAGTTATTTTCCAAAAAATCGATTAAGACATCTTCTAATAAATCTGTATAATTAATGGATTTCATTTTTGTCGATATAAAACATATCGGTGTCTTTCCATTGATACATAATGCTGCCCATGTCATTAATGATCCACCACCAAAATTGCGTGACAAACGAGGTGCGTTGTTTTTTCGCAAATCATGCTAGTAATAGCTAAAACCATCTGGTCCATCAAGATTAAACTTTTCGTCAGAAAATACGACATATTTCCACTTTTCTCCAAAATCCATATTATTCCTGGCGAATTCAAGTCGTGCTTCTTTGTGTATTTGCTTTAAACATGGTTTTTTTAGTGGTTTTTGCCATTTTATATTATCAGATCTTGACAATATTTGTTGAACACATCTAGGAGTGATTGTCAAACTTAATTCTGATATGATTTGACTTGCAGTTAACTTTTGTTTTGTCGCTAATTGTCGAATTTGTTCCACGTTCCTTTTCGTTATCTTGTAGTTTTTACGTATTTTTTGATTGACACCATATACTGACCCAAGTTTCAAAAAGTTTCTAATCACCTTTTCAGATCGTCCAATTTTTCGTCCAATTTCTCTATTAAATAACCCGGAATCCTTATATGCTTTAATTAAACCTTTTTCATGGTCATTAAAAAATTTTCCATGTGCCATTTCACTAAAAATATGAAACATTGAATTTTAAAATTATGAAAAATATTTTTATAAGTCAATTATGAAATTACTTACAATTTAAATTGATTTTTTCAACACCAAAACTAAAAATTATATCTCAAATTTAATAAAACAGAACTGAACAGAACTATACAAATTTCGCACTCAAATAAATCAAATAACTAATTTTTTTTATATAAAGAAATTATAAAAACAATGATATCAATTATCTTTTAATTATCAATTAACAAACAATGGTATAAATATATCACATACAGAAATTTCTTAATAAAATGTTTAATTAAGTCTCTATAATGAAAAATCTGATAAAAATTGTGTGCGGCTAAGAAAATTTCGTTCACTGTATTCAAATTACAAAAAAAAAGTTTGTATTGTTCAAGTCTTTCAAAACTTCTCTTTAAGAGTGATTAAAAAATTATCTTCCTAATGACATAATTACTGCAATCTCTAAAACAAATACCAATCATCTTAAAGATGGCATCTTTATAATTGATTCACATATCTTTTCCTTTTTTCTTTTTCTTTTTGATAAAGGAATGGGCTTTGTAAGGATCAATAATTTTAGTTGGCCTAATTTATTCTTGAATTTTTTTTATTGCTTTGTTGTGAGGGATCTTTACAAAGCCCATTTCTTTATCAAATGGATGTATATCAATATTATTATTACTTTTTAATTGCTTAGGTGCTCACAAGTCAGATTGTCATTTTTATTATTTTTCAATATGAATTAATAATGAACTTGAAATACACAGAAAAATCACAATTACAAACATTCAAGTTAAGGCAACATCAAACCATGACACGCAGATTAAAAAAAAAATTTATTTGAAAATCTTGTACATAGAAAATTTAATGTATTCAGTCAAACACTTAGAATGTTAACTGTGATTTAACATCACCAGTATGTGTCCAATTATTTCCTTACCTCGGGTACCAATATTGTTTTCTAACTTTTATAAGGTGTTTTAGGGGAGCAAGATATAAAGCAGACTTTAAATCAAACTTGAATCTAGAGACAATATTACAGGGTTAAACGTAAATATAAATTAAATTTAGCGGAAATATAAATTATTTTATGTGAAAATATAAGCTATTTTATATGGATGTTACTAAATATATTTATACTTGTTAAAGTTATCAAGTATATTTATTTTTGATAACAAGGGTTATCAAAACATCTAAACTCCCTCAAAATATTATTTTGAAAAATTAATAATAGAGTTATATCTACAGAAGAAATGGCATCTTATAAAGAGTTTATTTTTTTTACTTAATTATAAAAAAAATAAACTCTTTAAGATGTCATTTAAAGTTTGAAAAATTTTTTTTTTCATTTTTTATAATAAATCAATATAAGAAAACAGACAAAAAAATTATAATATTAAATTATATAAATTATATATATATAAATTATAATATAGTTAATATAAAATGCAATTTTCAATCAAACTTTTTAACATACTTTTGTAATTTTGAATGATGATTACTTCTGTAATCATCATTCAACTTCATAAGTTGTTTTTATAAAGTTGATTACTTCTTTTATATTACAGCTTAAATGATATCTTTAGACTTAAATATTAAAAATTGATAAAAAATGGCTTTGACTGAATTGGCTTAATGCATATGTAAATGGTGCGTCACTTTTCACTTTAAAACAAAGCCTGGTTTTGGATCATTCTATATTCAATGATCTTTCTTTAAACATAAGAAGTTTGATTTGAAAATACATAGATTAAAAACAGTCATCCATCTAAAAGCTTAAATCTTTACTTTATTTTCATATAATTTTTCATTTTTTAAATCACAAGTTGTTCACCAGTTGGCTTTGTTGATTTCATTTATCATACCACTTGTAATCATGTTGTATAAATTGATTTCCAAGAATCTTTTACTCTGTCTCACATTTCAAACTATTAGTTAATCTTCCATAATTTAACAACATAGAAGTAACCTTAATTAGGTTACTGCATTTCTTATCAATAGATATTAACAAGTCAAAGTCAGATGTTCTCTATTAACTCAATTCACATTGTTAGTAGAGTAGTATTACGACCATTAGGACCAACATTATTTTTTGTTATTGATTTAACAACTTAACTAACAATTTAATTGTTCTTTAAAACTTATATTGCTTGTATCATGACATAAATCATAGCCAAGATTAGACTGTTGCTATAAATAGGTTCATACTCTTGGTAGATATGTGGCAGTTATCAGCAGTTGGAAATGGTACTAAATTAACCTACTACCCTATTTGCAAAATGTTTCTAATAAATGTTTTGCACCTCCTTTATTATAATTAAAGGGCAACTATAGTCTAAATAATTAGTTTTAAGTTTTGCCTTCCAACCTAAAACATCTAGGAGTGACTGTGGACTCAAACTTTAACTATAAATAACATATTGCTATGGAGTATACTTAATTTTAAAATATTTTAAAACTCACAATCCTTGTATCCTAGTTAGAGGTTTCACTATTTATATAACTTCATATTATATATATATATATATATATATATATATATATATATATATATATATATATATATATATATATATATATATATATATATATATATATATATATATATATATATATATATATATATATATGTACAGGGCTCGAATTAAGCGTATTGCGATTTCTTTTTACACCTTCGCAATTAGTTTTTTTTTAAAACATATATTTTCACGATTGGTTTACTTTTTTAGTTGTTTATTTACTATTTTTTAATTTAGCTTTTTTTTTGGCAATTCTTAAAAGTAATGTTTTCATAGTAAAGTACGTCACGCAAAGTTTGTCTTTTGAATAGAAGCATGGTCATTTGCTTTTGAATAGAAGCATAATCATTTGCTTTTTCACGCGGAGATTTTTATTCAACGTAAAGCACTTTTTAATTTAAACTACTTTAAATCTCTGTGTAGAAACAAATTAAAAAGACAAAAGTTAAAAATAATTTTTTCTTCATTCTATTTCTTTAACAAAACAGCATTTTTCACAAGAAATGTTGCTCCAAATTAACTTAATAATAATGATTTAATTTATTATTTTATAAATAGTTTTATATAATTATTTTTACTACTTTAAGTATAATAAAATATATATAAATTCATTTTTATTAAATAAAATTAATTATTAAAATTTTATTAAATAAATTTTATAAAATTAATTAAATTAATTTTATAAAATTTTATTTTATAAAATTAATTAATTTTATAAAATAAAATTAATGCTAAAATAAACCAGCAACTTTTTTGCTTTCACGTTTTTCGCTTTAATGACCTTGAAACTATTGAAGTTATATTTAGTTAACTTTACTAAATGGATAGAATATATCACAGTAAATTAACTTATAACCTAAATCAAAACAACCAGTTAAGTTAAGATAGTAACTTACAGTTACTCAAGTTTTAATTTAACAATTATATTAATTTATTTAATATACTCGCAAAAGTTAGCCATAGACATGTTTCAATTTAGATCTTACATGTTGTTAACATATAATATAAGATTTTAACTGATAATTATTTTAACAAAAATTGTCGAATAGAGTATGAAAAGCGCGACACCATTTTTTTTATATTTTCATTTTATTTATAGCGACATTTAGACTAAACATTTTCTATAAATATGCAATTGTTTTCAGGAATTTCATTTAAAAAGAAATCAATTTAACAAGAGAACTTTAGCCCTAAAATTCACTTATTCAAATAATTTTGTGATTGAAATTTGAAATTTCAAAAAATTTTGATGAAACCAGGGAGATAAAAGAAGAAAGTTTTTTTTTCTTAAATTGTAAATTTTTTTAACGTTTTAAATTATATATTTTTTCTTGAAAACAGTTTTAAAAGTAGAAACATTCTATTGCAAACATCAATGCAGTGATTGCAAATTGCAAGTTAAAATAAAAATTATAAAAAATTTAAATTAAATTTAATAAATTATTTTACTTCTGTTGGAAAATATTTTTTCTAAAAAAATAATTTAAGCATATTCTTATACTAAATATAATTCAATTTATTAAATAAAATTTTTTGTTTCACTTATTTTTGGAAAACAATTATAATAAAAAAAAATTGAATGAAAACATCAGTTTAAAAACCATTTGAATGAAAAACATAATTATACTTAAATTTTTAATAGTACGCTTGATCAGGAAACGATAATTTATAAAATACGTGGTATCTAATGTTTTTATGCTTTGATCTTACTCGTTTGGTTCATATATTATAAACTTGTATAGGTCTATAGGCACAAATATGAAGTTTTGTTTTAGTTTATTAACTAGATCAATTTTATTTATTTGCTTCCTTTTATTTTAAGAGTGTTTTATTTTAGAAATTGTATGAATCAACACGAAACAGCGTCACGAATTTGTTTTACGTTAACCCAAGCTCTTTATATTTTTAAAACAACTTTGCAGTTTGTTTTAATGTTGTTTTATAGCTTTTAACAATTAAATACTTTTTAAAGTTAACACGTGTTTTAATGTCAGCACGAACGTATTAAATAGTTTTCTCTGACTAATTAATGTGGTTTAGATATTGCAATGTTGCTTTTTCTCTTACTTTTTTACTTTTACTTTTTTAAGTATCATTTTAAGTAAAATATAGAAATATCTTAATAGTATTAAAAACGTTATTGCTTCTTACAACTGCAACTTAAACTTTAAGTTATAACTTAAATTGTAAATAATAACAGTAACTTACGCTGTTTTAAACTCTACCGAACAAGAAAATTATAAGATTATATTTAAATATAGAGATAATGTATTAAAAGTAGAACAATTACATACAAAAGTTACAATTATATACTATACTAGATTTTTTTGCGTTAATTCGAGCCCTGATATATATGTATATATATATTTATATATATATATGTATATATATATGTATATGTATAAATATATATGTATATATATATATATGTATATATATATATACCTATATATATATATATATATATATATATATATATATATATATATATATATATATATATATATATATATATATATATATATATATATATATATGTATGTATATATATGTATATATATGTATATATATATAAATAAATTAGTAAAAACACATATCTAAATATTTCTAAAGTCTGTTTCACCTTCAACAGGTTCATCAGGAATAATGTCTAAATATCCAAAAATTCAATTTATAGAGAAAATATTTTACAGGAAAATAAAAATTGTTATAATCCATTTTATAAAAATTGTAGTTGTGTTGAAACCAAGAAGTGTAATTGTGAAAAAGAATTCCTTAGAATTATAAGTTTAGTTTTAGTTTTGCCATTTGTTTTTATAGTTTTTAAAAAGGTATTTATTTTTTTAAGCCTTCCCAGGAAACGCATGCGGTTTTTCATTTTTTTAATTATATAATTATATTTATTATATTTGTTGTACATAAATTTATACTCCCGCATTACATAGATGTTTTCATATATTGGCAATATATACTTGTTACATTAAAATTATACAAATATATTTTACAAACAGATAGCAATTTCTATTTTTTCCTCCAAATAAAAAAAAAAATAAAATAAAATATAGGAAAATCATTTTTAATGTCCAATTTTGTTGCTGAAAATAACAACCACTTTTAAGAAACAATAGTAAAAATAATACACAAATTATTTAAGTTATTAACTTTTTTTTCTTTTCCATTTAAATCTATTTGAATTTCCTATTTTGTTAGTTTTGCTTTGTTTCTGATACTTTTTCCAGTAATGCCTAATATAAAAAAATTTGCAAATGGCTGTGATCAAGTTGTCAAAAATAAAATACTCATACATGGACATACAAGACGAAAATTACATGCGTTTGCTAGGAAGGCTTGATTTTTATACCTGCATTCACAAATTAATTAAGATTTTTTGTTTAGTAAATATTATTGATTCAGTTTCCTGGGAAGGCTTGATTTTTATACCTGCATTTACAAATTAATTCAGATTTTTTGTTTAGTAAATATTATTGATTCATATGGATAGTTATAAATTTTTCTTGCAAACATAACACATAACATATTTTTCTTGCAAACATAACACATAACATACATTTTTCTTGCAAACATAACATACATTTTTCTTGCAAACATAACATATAACATACATTTTTTAGAAGTATTATTATAGGCAGGTGAAGTTTTAGAATAGACCAATTTAATTTAAAATAAATATTTTTTTCTTTTAATTGCCAAATTTCTTTTGACAACATAGTCTCTTTTGACAACATAGTCTCTTTTGACAACATAGTCTCTTGACAACATAGTCTCTTTTGACAACATAGTCTCCTTGACAACATAGTCTCTTTTGAGTATTTTAATATGTACATATATTTTTTTATAAGGTTTCCGAAAAAAGAAGATGATCCTCATCAAGGGGAGTTA